TCTTTACGTAATCACATATGGAGATCCATTAAAGACAGCAGAATAGAATGCTTTTCTATTCCCCAGACTTCAATTCCACTTTTCCCTTCCTTAGGTGGCCCAAGGGGCTAGGTAACCCAGCCAGATATATTTAAAATTCATTCTTTCTGGGCTATTTCTAGCCAGTTTGTTTACTTATTTTCTTTTTTTAGTTCGGTCTTGACACACAGACAAATGTGTACCAACTGTCTACTTTTTATATTTGGGTGAATACCTGGAAGTGGCATGTGGCAGACAGCAAGGATGGGGCGAAAGGAATGGAAAGTCCCTGTTAGCTTTCAAGTCCACTCACCGGTCCCCTTCTACTCCAACTAGAAAAAGTCAGGCTTCTGTAACTCACTCTGTTACTTTTTCTGGTTATCAATCCCTTCCTCCCGCTCTCCCGCCCACTCCTCTTATGTAAGATGGCATAATTGTTTCTTTTCTCTAACGTTTGCATGTGGTCTTTCCGCTCCCTCTGCTTGCTTCCTTTCAATGTGTTAGAACTACAGGGTTACCACAAACTTCACACAAGCCATGAACTTCACTGAAGAACAAGATTCGAATGTGCTTTCTGTGCCACATACTTTGCAGTTTTATTTATTTGTGTATGTGTGCATGTGCGTGTGCATGTGTGTGTGCACACGTGCGCATGTGTGTGTGTGCATGTACGTGTGCACAGTTGTCCACAGAGGCTAGAAAAGAGCCAGATTCCCTGGAGTTGGAGTTATGAGCAGCCTGATTGGTGCAGAAAAACCAATTTAGATTCTCTAGAAGAGTATGAAATGCACTAAACCTCTGAGCCACCTCTCCAGCCCCCAAACAAAAGAATCGAGGTTCACACACTGGTTCTTTGGTTACAGAGTTATTGTTCTGGTTCTGCTTTACAGTTTTAACTTTCTGAATAATTCCATATCCTGTGAGTATAAACTTATCTAGCAAATTCTGGAGGCACAACCTTTTGACTTTTCTTTCTCTCTCCCTTTTTCACAAATAGGACCTTTTATTTGTCACTATTGGAAGTCTGGGTTTTCAACAGTTTCTTGGTTCGTATCCATCAGCTCACTCACACCTGTCTCATCATCAGTAGTTTTTCCAGAACTTCCACCTTCACCACAGAGCACCACGAGTTTTCTCAACTCGAACTTGGGTTTCTTTTGCATTTTTATCATCTTCTTCCAGATCTGGAGGACCTGCTGGTGCTACACATGGGATGTTTTGCATATCTGGCTGTTGCGGTTTTTTTAGTGACACCAACACAGAACAGAAGGAGCAAAGAACCATTGGTTGTCTTGACATCAACACAAGCTTCAATCATGGTCTGGTCTGCCACTTTTTGACCATGGAAGACTTTTTGTCCTGGGTAAGATCCATGCCATGGCAGTTAATCAGACTTTATTTTATTTATTTATTTATTTTTTTGCCTTGAACAACCTCAGTAATTAGCTTGAATTTTCTAAATACAACTTTGTCACTCTGTAGATCAGCAAAGCTCTCTTCAAACACACGACCCTTGAGGCCCTCAGATGAAATTCTGGTTCCTTGGGTCCTTGTGACTAGTGTTTTTCCAATGTTTCTAAACTGGAACATAGGTGGAGCTTTCACATCATACCAGTCTTTCTTAGAAAATGGACCAACCAGTTTCTTCTTGGCTCCCTTCTTGAAGCCTTTCCTCAGGGGCTTGTTCTCACCGACTGCCGTCTTGCTGCTGCTCAGAGAGCCAAAGGGAAGAAGTACGCACAGTTTGGGTAAGAACTTACATGAGTCGGATGGGACTAACTTATTTCTTGGTAGAACTAGAACCTTGCTAAAAAAAAAAAGCAGGGGTGTGGGGGGGTTGAGATGATTCCCTCTTTTTTGATATAAACCATAGATCTGTCTACAAAAAGCTGTTCTCAAATTGGGATCAGCCGTGCATCTTACCAAGAGCTGGGGACACCTTGATGCAGTTACAGTTATTGTTATCGTTATAATTGCTGCTAGTATTATTTTTTATTAGCTTCGGCTTTGAGTGGAGGAAAACTGGTTTGTCTAATTTTGAAAAGAGTGGTTTTGCCTCTAAGAAAAGAGCACAATACATGGCTACATGGCATCACCCCATGGTGGCAAACACTTTCTACTGTCCTCAATGTGGTGGCCACATGTTTGCTTTTTCTCCCAGATAGCTAAGTCTTAAGCAAGAGAGTTTGGAGGAAATGAAAGAGGGAGAAAATGCACTTTTTTTCCCTTTTTATGGCATTTAGAGTATGTGCCAGTGGGTTACGTATCCCCCACCCCTGAAGTTGTGTATATATGTTCATATGTGTGTGATTAATAAATAAAATAAGCAAAGTGCATTGTGACTGTTCTGGGCTGTTATTTCTGTTTTCTTGAAATGGTTTTGAATCTTTTGAAGCAAACTGGGAGAAAATGATGAGCCTCATCCTCTGTGAGTGTTTAGTGTTCATGTTTATAAGTCACCGATATAGCACACTATCCTGCAAAGCATAAATGTGTGTATGAAATTCTGTAAAACAAATAAATGTGCAATGGAATTTCACTGATGGAAAATACTTAAAAACTAGGTTCCATCTTATACATACACAAAAAGTACCCAATATTTTAAAGTCCAATTTGAGATTTTTTTCAATATTAATGGCCATAATGTAACATTGCAGTGAATAAATTGAAAATAGAATAAGTGGATGTTCAAGAAAATCAGAGATTTTGAAACTTGGAAGAATACTTTGAAGAGGATTTGGCTTATTTGTTAAATCTGACAAAGTGCTAAGAACCAGAAAAAATAAACTGCCTATACAGAGAAGCATTTCCTCCTCCCCTTTCCCTTTCCCCTCCTTTCTTTTTTCCCCTTCCCCCCTCCCCCAGGACCAGACCTGGAAACAAAGGCAAACTTTCCACCCTCCCAATAGGAGCCACTTTACTCTAAGACAGCCACAGCAAGGGTCTTCCCTCAGAAACCTGTGGTCAAGTGGTAACTGTCCCCAGCCTTTCTCTTCTGGAGGTAAACTGTTAACGGGCAGATGTAGAGCCTTTTTCAGATGAAAGATAAAGATACTCAGGCTCTTTCTGTTTCTCCTTATAATGTCATCTGTCCATCCAAATTATAGACACCTTCTTTTCTCCTCCCCCCCCCATCTCTCTTACCAGGCCTAGAGAAACCCAGTAGTTAATTTTAAGCCTTCTAGCCATCCAGTAAAATGACAACTAGTGTTATCTTAGAGATGGTTTTGTTCAGAAAAGAATTCACTGTTGACTTGTGGTGAGTGAATTTGTACTTAAAGTCTATCCTCATCATGTAGGCTGTAGATTTACCACATGTGGGCAAAACTCTGTGTCATATCCCTTGGTGACCAAGGAAGGTACGTGGTCCGTCTAACTTGACTCAAAAAGCCAGACTCATTACCCTGGACTCTGGGTCATGTGATTTAACTAGCTGAAAGTCACAGCCCAACCCCCTCTGTCAGTCAGGATTCTCCTGTGGCAGATGACAGAAACTGACTATGATAGTCCACAAAAGATTGCACTAGAAAATCTGAAGGAAATGCTGAAGAGCCAGAACTTTTTCTAGCAGTGGGAGGAGGAAGATTGTTCACCATTTGACCAACCTGACATTTAGATTCTAGGAAGATAGTTTAATAAGAACAAACTCAGATCTTGTGACCAGTTCTTGAAGTGAAGAAGTCTCATGAATGCCTAATCTACTGGGGGTCAGAGGTTCTGGGCAGAGTTTCCTAAAGAACAGGAAGAAAAGGGAAATGGTTATCAAGCAGTCAGACTAGTAGAGGTCCGCCAAACCACCTCGTGGGGGTGATCAGTTATGAAAACACAGAGTCTAAGAGGTGAGATTGAAGTGTGTCTAGACAACAGCTCAATGATGGGACCAATAAAGTGGATACTAAATTCTGGCTTGCCTAGTAGTTTAAATAGGGCCACTTAGCAATTTTTCTTTAACTTCAGTTCAGAGTTTCCCAGACCCTGAGTGGGATGTGAATAGTTGGTCTATTAAGCATCTCTGTCCAGTTACAGATTATCCTCCGACTCATTCTCCTGGCCACACCTACCGCCTGCCTTCTTTGTACTGAACTCGGAACTCAAGGGCTGTTTCTCTAGTAACACCTTTGTTTAGACTGGAAGAGGAATTAAAAGCTGCTGAACACTTTATTGAATTTCAACCTTTAATATTGGTAATTTGATTTTAACGTGTGAAGTCAAACCTCATTAGACACAGGAGAGAAAGAGCGAGAAGTCCAATGAAACATCTACTTGAAGATGTCCTTGAACACTCTCCTGCCCTTCTTCTAGCTTTCCGGTACACAGTAGGGATGAAAGAATTCTTCATCGTCACTTAAAGTGCAAAGTGGGTCGGTTATTTGGAGAGAGAGAGAGAGAGAGAGAGAGAGAGAGAGAGAGAGAGAGAGAGAGAGAGAGAGAGTGTTTATTCACTACACTCTGTTCCCTGTAAATTTTCACTTTGGTTATTAAAATACTCACTGTAGGAAACAGATTTGTAACCCATTTCTCATATTACCTACAGCCAGAAAAACAAAATTTGATATCCTGGGGTTTATTTGCTGAGGGCGCTTCCCATAAAAGCGGGGTGAGTGTGCGTTGGGAAATTCGTCTGGTTAACTTCTTTATGGATAAGCGTTAGTCACAACCTCCCCCATCCCAACACGCACACTTTGGCCCCACCGCTCTCCCCACCTCTTGACTTCCCGCCTCTCCAGGGCTGGTGACCTAATAGCATTTTTCTTCATGCATATTTTGGCTTGGGCCCATGGCCTGGCTGCCTTCGCCTGTCTGAGTCTTTTGAAATTCCTGCATGTTCGGCCCAGATTAAGTCGAGTGTGTCTCAGGATGTGTGTTCCGTTTTGTTCTTTCCCCTTAACTCTCCCTGTGCAACGTGTCTGGGGAGGAGGGGAGTGGGGCGGAGAGGGGAGGAGGGGCAGAGCGGAGGAGCTGTCCGCCTCGCACGTTTCCAATCGCATTACGTGAACAAATAGCGGAGGGGCAGCGAGCGGGGCCAGAACGGCTTGTGTAACTGCAAACTTGTCAGAAAGTTTAAAATCTCTCCCCTTCTTCCACTCCAGACACTGTGCGCTCTCCGGGACCGACCGTCGTGCGCCGCTGCTCCCCCCCACCCCTGTCGTCTTCCAGGACTGGGAAAGGGGGTGCCACGTCCGACGGCGGCCTGGGCTGGGGGCAGGGTCTGCCGTCCGCCCTTGGCACGACTCACTGCGACCCATCCCCGCGCCTCGCCCTCCTCCCGGCCCCGAAGAGGTCTCGTTCCTTCGCGGGATCTGAGCCACGTCCTCCCCGCAGAAAGGACTCGCCCGGAGAGCCATGCATTTCGCCTGGACCGTGCTCCTGCTGGGGCCACTGCAGCTCTGTCCGCTTCTCCGCTGCGCCCCGCAGGCCCCGCGTGAGCCCCCCGCCGCCCCGGGCGCCTGGCGCCAGACGATCCAATGGGAGAACAATGGGCAGGTGTTCAGTCTGCTGAGCCTCGGGGCGCAGTACCAGCCGCAGCAGCAGCGGCGACGCGACCCCAGCGCCGCGGCGGCCCCGGGCCCCGACGGCAACGCCGCCCCGCAGCCGCGCACGCCCATTCTGCTGCTGCGTGACAACCGCACCGCCTCTGCCCGCGCGCGGACACCGAGCCCGTCCGGGGTCGCCCCCGGCCGTCCCCGGCCCGCCGCCCGCCACTGGTTCGAAGCTGGCTTCTCGCCGTCGGGGGCCCGCGATGGTGGGACCTCCCGGCGCGCAGGGAACCGGACTGCGTCGCCACAGCCCCCGCAGCTCAGTAACCTGAGGCCTCCCAGCCATGTAGACCGCATGGTGGGCGACGACGCCTACAACCCCTACAAGTACTCCGACGACAATCCCTATTATAACTACTATGACACGTATGAGAGGCCCCGGCCTGGGAGCAGGTACCGACCCGGATACGGCACCGGTTACTTCCAGTACGGTAAGCACCCCCAGGTTCACACGAGGCACCTGGCTACCCTGGCTGCAGGTCGGTGCTGTCCAGACGTGGCGGACTGAGCGCGACGCCCACCCCCCGGCCCCGCGCCCGTCCCGGCCGACCGGACCCCCCTAATTCCCCCTCGCCCGCCCCGCCAGCTCTGGAATCTGATGGAAACCGCGCTCCTGGCTCCAGCAGCGTCTTCTTTCCTTTCCTTCCCAGCCTTGGAGTTCCCTGTTCTTCCACACACGCAGCCCCACCCAGCGGACTTGGTGGGCAAAGGGTGACAAAAGAGGGGACCTGGGGTCAGAGGTCACCTGCTTGTCTTATTTTTTAGGTCTCCCGGACCTGGTGCCGGACCCCTACTACATCCAGGCATCTACATATGTGCAGAAGATGTCTATGTACAATCTGAGATGCGCTGCGGAAGAAAACTGCCTGGCTAGGTACGTATTAACACAGCCTGGCTCCCATTTTGATCCTGGGATCACACGGGTGCCTAGTTCTGACCGCTATTCAGTGCAGACAAGGGCCAGGAAGTGGGACAAGGGCTGGGAAGTGGGACGTGACCTCCTGGGCATGCTGACTTGGATAGAGAGTCAATTTGGAATGTTTTTATGGGTGCCGCCTCACTGGGAGGCGCAAATCAGGAGAGGGGGGCGAAAACCCTTGTTCCGGAGACTGGGTCTTAGGTTCTTTCCCAAGGTTTCTATTAGGTATTGGCGCCAACAACTTTCAACAGCTTTCTACAAAACAGGAGCTCAACAACCAACCACACAGGGGGAAAAGTAGAAAGGAAGCGCTCGCTATTATTCTCTGATGGTCTGGGGTGTGTTCCCCACGGTGGCGCCCCCCATTGGTAAAGACTGCATTCCACATTTCTTTCAGGCCATGATTAACTAACTGGGTTGTTTTCGTATAAGACCATGAGCAAGAGTTTTGTTTTCCGTCATTCCCAAAATAAAATAGCTATTCTGGACTTGGAATTCTCCGATTTTGCTGCTGGCAACCAGCAGAGGGAGCATAAGATGCTTGCGTAGTTCTGGTGGTACCTTAAGTAAAATGGGTCACCAATGGTATTCCAACCCAGACCTACAAAAATTTAGAAGCATCCCAGAAGTGTTTATATGAACCTCTATTCCACGTTGACTTTTTTACAACCATCACACTAAGGGAAAAAATTCAAGCTCATTTTCATTCCCGAGTCTTGCATGATCCACACCACTGAACGCTGGAAGATAGTAGAGAGGCGCTCCCTGTCTGATGATAGTGAAGTATAAAGCTATCTATCTAAAGCTAGCTGTCCTATTTTAGAGTGTTTCTCCATTTACTATTTTAAATCTATCAACTTATTAATAGATCTATATGGATCTTTTTGGTGTGTGATCATTACTATAGCAATTTCATGGTTTTTAGATGCATCAATAATTTTTTTAGTGTAAATCCTAATTTCAAGCTCTGTAGGTTTTTACTGTTGTCCTTCATTCACTCATTCACCAGGTAGTCACTATGTTTTTATTCTTCCAGGACTGGATGGGAGCTCAAGATTGTCTCTTTGAGCTGAGAGGCTAGTTGGGAAAGGGGAGGGATGCCATTACAGTGTAATGGTGAGCTGTTCTTTCTTGTTTTGTTTTTCACCGGTATTCACTGAATCTAATGTTTGTTTGTCTGTTTGTTTGTTTCTAAACTCACAGCTCAGCATATAGGGCAGACGTCCGAGATTATGATCACAGGGTACTGCTACGATTTCCCCAAAGAGTGAAAAACCAAGGAACGTCTGACTTCTTACCAAGCCGCCCTCGCTATTCCTGGGAGTGGCACAGTTGTCATCAGTGAGTGGACGGGCCTCTCAGTGCTTCTGGGATGCTCTGACATCTTTCAGATGATTCTTCACGTGTCTTACCTAAAGCTAGAGATTTGCTATTATTTGTACTTAGAACTTTTACTATACGGGTTGATGGTCATCAAAGAATGTTAAACCTTACAGATGGCCCCTTCACCACCAAATGCCATTATCTTTTGAATTGGAAACTTAAGTCAGGCTCATTAAAAAGTGTGGAAAGATACAACAATGGCTGCCCTAGAATTTGCTATTAAGTAAAAGTATCTTCTGTAAATAAGATCATCTATGTAAATAGTAAATTTGCAGAACTTATTATTATGTAAAAGTATCTGCTGTAAATAAGATCATCTATATAAATAGTAAATTTGCAGAACTTATTATTATATAAAAGTATTTGCTATGGATAAGGTCATCTATGTAAATAGTAAATTTACATTATGTGCTATTATGTACAAGTATCTTCTAAAAATAAGATCATCTATGTAAATAGCAAATTTACTATTATGTACAAGTATCTGCTATGAATAAGATCATCTACATGATCACCTGCAGCTGGTCAGCCTTAACAAGCATTTAAGAAAAGCACAGCTTCTTTTACCTAAAGAATTCAGAAACCATCCTCAATGGAACACACATGAGATAGACTTGAGGAGCAGACCCACTTCCATCTTTTGAAAGGCCCATATCAGCTCCAGAGTGGTTGTCCCACCCTTCCTAAATTTAAAGGTTTTAATTTTTAAATTACATGTGGTTATGCCATCATTTGCCTAGGTAATGTGCCCAGTTATTCAGTGCCAGGAAATCCTGATGTGTGGTCTTCTACTTACAGAAACTCAAACCCTTTCCCATTGTTGCCCCTCCCCCATGTAAGACGAGGACGAGCTCAGAAGTCTTCTACTTAATGAACAGAGAAAAAGCAGACTTTAGCTGTAGAATTTGCATATTAAAGTAGATATATTTTATTTTGAAATGAAAGTTTGTGCTATTTAAGTAATAGTGGTAGAAAAACATGTTGTTCCCCCTTGCGTTTCCGAAGAGATTTTAAAATGTTGAAACTCTAGTTTTTAGACTCTCATAGCAAGCCCTCTCGAGTAAAGCTCTTGTTTGAAATCAGCATCCTATCAGCAACATTGGCAGTGGCGCCCAGAGAAATACACCAGAGACTCCACAGGTTACAAGCACCGATAATCCATTGTCTTTATAGATACTCTGTGGAAAGGGACAGATACTCTGTCCTTACCACCAAGTAAAGTTAAAAGCTTGCAATTTTGATACATTTATGTCCTTTCTGAAAAAAATAATCTAGCATGAATATCTCTTTAAGAAGATAAACTTGGGGGCCAGGCATGGTGGCACACGCCTTTAGTCCCAGCACATGGGAGGCAGAGGCAGGTAGATCTCTGAATTTAAGGCCAGCCTGGGCTATAGAGTAACTTCCAGGATAGCTAGAGCTACACTGTGAGACCCTGTCTGAAACCAAGGGGCAGGGGGTTGGGCTGGGGAGACAGCTCAGTGTTAAGAGTACTTACTGCTCTTGCAGAGGAGCCAGGTTTGATTTCCAGTATCCACACAGTGGTTCATAACCACCCATATCTCATCTCCAGTTCCAAGGGATTCAAGCCCTCTTCTGACTTCCATGGGCACCAGGCATGTACATGGTGCACATAAAACTTGTAGGCAATACGTTCACACACATAAAATAAATAAATCTTTAAGAAAAATACATAAAAAGACAAGAAAATAAACTTGCCCTGCCTTAATAGTGAGCAATAACACCACTTGATTCATGAGACAAGGAGGTCACTTAATGTCCTTATTGTTTCCTCTACATGCCACTGACTGCTGTGTTTTTGTTGTGTGGGACATTAGACATTACCACAGCATGGATGAATTCAGCCACTACGACCTGCTTGATGCCAACACACAGAGGAGAGTGGCTGAAGGCCACAAAGCAAGCTTCTGTCTCGAGGACACATCCTGTGACTACGGGTACCACAGGCGCTTTGCGTGTACCGCCCACACACAGGTAGGCTGGCCCTCGGACATCAGGAACCCTCAGATATCCAGAGACTAGGCAAACAAAGTCATCTGCCAGTTTCTTCCTCCCCCCCGCCCCCTTCTTCTTCTTCTTTTTTTTTAAATCCATTGTTTCATTTTGAGGTTATCTTACCAATGCGGAAATTAATTGGGAAAAGGCAGATGAATGGGTGGTGCAAATTGCTTTTAAAGTGTTTCCAGCTGCCCACACAACCCCTGCTGGTGATCACAGAAGGTCACTGTGGATCCTTGCTACATAACACAATGAAAAGTAGTTTACTTTCTGCACACACAGGAATGACTTGAAGCATCTGCCTTCATTCTGTGTTCTTTAATTGGCTATAAATAACTGCTGGCGACGTAGAACTGTTTTCCCACCTGCAAAATCATTTTGTTTCCTACCTTCCTGCTTACTATGGAATAGTGCCTAGAGTTAGAACAAGGAGTTGAAGTCAGTTCCTTAGGAATACTTTAAACAGCATCACTTCTAATAACGCAAATAAGAATAGAAAGACACATTTCTTTCTCCACACATGTATATTTAAACCTACAGCATAATTGATATCAGATGTCCTTTGGATGAATTTGTTTTTAATAGTGCTGAGCTAAGCACTAGTGTGTGTCTTAGGATTGGAAAATGTGTGTCAGTTAAAAGCCATGTCGGTATTTCCATCCAAAACCCTCATTTGTAAAAAGACATTATAATTTTACTCCAGCCCAGCTCTTGGCAAGTAGTCCGTGTATGTACATTACCCAGGGCACAAAGACATCAACAGCCGTCTTCTTGGGGAGCAGATTCCAGGGTTGTGGCCAGAAGCTTTTTAGTGACCTACATGTGTGGACCATACTTCTTTCCTCTGGGCTTAGCTCATCAAAGTGGTTAGAAAGGGAAACAGTTATACTTAGCATAGGTTGGGAGGGGCAGGACATATGCTTTAAGTGAAGGATGTAACCCAACCATATATTAAGTATGTACCCATGCAGAGATTGCATTCTCATCCTGTGATCACCCCAAGAGGAACTGGGGCACTTCCTTTCCCTATTCAGAAAATGACACACACCGATCATCTCATTCTAAGATGGAACACCTGGGTGGGGAGTTGTTCATGTTTCAGCCGCAGAGGCTCCCCTATTTGCTGGCATAATCTCACTCTTTTTATGTTCATCCTTCTCTGTACACGTCTTAACAATTCTTCACCAGGTTTTGCATTATAAGTGATTTATATGTTTCTGTTTTTTTTTCAATTGTCTCTTGAACAGAATTTACTTAAAGAAAAAAAATTCACACAGACCCCTAATGTTGACTTTTGTTAGTTTTGTTATACTAGTGTCGTGTTCCTAAATGTTTATGCATATAACTAAGTATAACTTATGCATATATATAATATATATAAAAGCCACATGTCCTAAGACTACAAATTTACATACAAAATTCATGCACAACAAAAATAGTCACATCATACTCATTGACCAAACATAGCAAACTGTTATGTTTTGCTGAAACCAAATAATGAATTTAGATAGTGTAGAATGAAGTTATATTTCCAATTTAGTTTTACATTTTGACTTTGAATATTGAAATGTCTACTCACTTAATGGCCTGGGTAAACTTCAGGTGTTTATTTGTAAGTCCAAATAAGCAAAGCTCAAAATGAACATATTCTGTGAGTACATGAATCATAGAGTAAGAGTGTCAGCCATTAGTGCTTACACATACACATAATGCTTTTAAGACTGTGTGACCTAGGCCGGTGTCAAATTCATGGGCTTAAATTGTTCTCCTGCCTCAGCATTCTGCCCCTTTGAGATTATGGGTGGATGCCAACAGGGATAACTTCAGCATTTCTGAAACACTTATTCACTTAACAGTAGCATAACTTATGCCTATCTTCCTTGGGTATCTAATCCAGTGCACAATTTAGAGTCATCTGTGAAATAGTAGTAATGGTAGTGGCAGCTTTTAGTATTGCTTAGTGTGTAAGGTGCCAGAATTAGAGAATGATGTAGTATAATCAGACCAAAAGTTCTTCCTCTTGTATTTCCTATCCAACACATAAAATGAGAATGGATCAAGGTGGGAACCCAGGCAATTATGGTCCTCATTCCTGTGACTCAAGTGATTTTGAGTTGGCTTGTCTCTACTGTCCTGTGCTGTGGACAGCAAAATTGTTTACTCTTCCCAAATCTAGATGTAGCCAAACCCACATCCCTAAAGCATGTTGAGAGGCTTTTGTTATCTTTGATGACCAAAATGACCGTAAGCATCAAAGCAAACTTGAGTGATGATCTTAAATGATACTTCTGAGTTCAAATGATTGTAACATATACTTTTAATCAACTTTGGATTATCAGAGTGAAAATACAACAGTTAAAAGTACTCATGAGGAAATAAGAAAATAAAAAAAAAAGATATCCATCTCCCCCCCCCCCCTCCGTGGGAGAAAATGTCTTCAGCCTCATGAGAGCAAGGAGCATATATTCTTGGCATTTTTCTCCTGGCAGCCTTATGAGACACCTGTTGACTTGCTGGTGTGAATGTTTTAGCATGTGGACTGATGCAGTGTTGACCAGTTTGGGCATATATCCATCCCTGTGACTCAACTAAGATTTCACTGATTATTTGATGGAGGGAATGTGGTAGTTGAGAAAAGGTACCTGTTTACATAATCTTGAAACCAACTCAGTCATTCCCTAGCTGTTTGCCCTGGAATAAGTCATTTGACCTTAGTGTGCCTCAGCTTCCTCGTCTATAAAGTGGAGATAGTAATACACCTACCTTATGTAGTCGTGAGAATTGGCTTTATATAGTATGTTTAAAATGGTTCTGGCACATAATAATAACAAATGTTAGCTTCTCAAGGATGCAACTAAACTCTACCCTTGAGGAATTTCTGTAATATGATGAGTATATAGAGCAGAAATGGATGAATGCTATAAAGCTAAACAGGACAAAAGACCATGAACATTCAGAATGTAGGAAGGTCATTGCAGGGAGGTTCACAGATAGGAAATTGGAACTAATTTGCTATGAGACCTTTATTGCTGGTGTAATATCTTGAATTGTGGTGAAGGCTTATTTTGTTGTTTAACACTATTTTCCACTGGTGACTTGTGAAATAAGGCACACTACTTCATACTGCAGTCCCTATAAAGCCCTAGCTATTATAAGACTGGGAAACATGTGGTTCTCAATGGAGATGAAACAGAAGTATTTTTATGCCAAATTCTTCTAGGTACCAACTTAGTATTTAATTTACCAATAATATCATGTTTATTTATTTGTTTGTTTTAGCTCTGTCTAGCCATATGCTATAATTTAATTTTTACAACTTTGCTGATTTCAGGGATTGAGTCCCGGATGTTATGATACCTATGCTGCAGACATAGACTGCCAGTGGATTGATATTACAGATGTACAACCTGGAAACTATATTCTAAAGGTAGGAGCTTTGAATACATGTAATTTACCGTGACAATTCAATACACTCCCTTTTTCTGGTTTTAAATATTAAATAATCATGGTCGTAAAAGTAACCAAAAATGCAGGGCATCGGTGGCACACACCTTTTATTCCAGCACCTGGGAGGCAGAGGCAAGTGGATCTCTGAGTTTGAGGCCAGCCTGGTCTATAAAGAGAGTTCTAGGACAGCAAGGACTAAACAGAGAAACACTGTCTTGAAAAACAAAACAACAAAAAATGTAATTGAACACCCTTCATAACAATTTTTAAGCAATCCAGACTGTGATGTTTTTAAAAAGAGCTCAGAGAAATTTACACAATTTCCTTTGTAATATAGCCAGTGTTTAACTACATGCTTTAGATTCCTTTTCTTGCTTTATTTAGCTGAGTCCCTTGTTAGCAATTTCACTGCAGTGTCTCTACAGAAATAGGAAGGAATAAGAGTATGCATATAAGATGAACAGGAAGTCATTCACCATGCTATTTCTGTTGTCCAGGTCAGTGTAAACCCCAGCTACCTGGTGCCTGAATCAGACTACAGTAACAATGTTGTACGCTGTGACATTCGCTACACAGGACACCATGCCTATGCCTCAGGCTGCACAATTTCACCGTAAGTATTGTTTGGCAAGCCAAGTAATTTCTTTTACAAGGAGCTTTGACTTGATATTAGCCAAAAGACTGGCAGGTGCTTACAAGTTTTGTCACCTGGATTTATACAATACTGGTATTTGCTTTGCTTCTACTGCCATAGCTTCCTTGCAAACAAAGCAAAGCAAAAATTAAATATAGGATCCATGTTATTATTTTTGGCAATACTAGAGAATGAGGGTGCAGTAATGTTTTACTCATGCTACAGCTCATACAGTGTTCACCTGGAAAGATGTACTGTTTACCTGACAAGTTCTGTAGCAGTCCAGTCCAACAAATTGCTCATTAAGCAGTGTAAGTGAGCTTGTAGGAGCCACAGTCATTGGCTTTCCTCCCCTTCCCCCATGCTTCATGATGGGAATGCAAAGAAATTCAAAGCATTTTCCAAGGTACACTTTCATTTACTGGCTGCAAAATGTGTGTGTGTGTGTGTGTGTGTGTGTGTGTGTGTGTGTGTGTGTGTGTGTGTGTGGTGTGTCTTCCCTCCATAATTCACTGAGTCCTAAAACCAGTTTGTAAATCTTCATAGGAATCTTAGCCCATAAATATTAAGCAGAAGTTCTTTAATGAAGAGAAAAGTACAGAAGGTTTGCCCGGTTGCTACCTGTCTTGCCTGACTCCTTTAAAGCTTTGCCTGCTTCATGTTATGCTAGTTGTTTCTTCCAAACAGTGAGAAGACCACGGGAATAACTGAGCACACATCATCTTTGCACTGACATTGCCAAGATACTGGTAGCTTAAAGGCACATATTACCTCACACAAGACCCGTTCTTTATTTACATAAAGGAACAGAGTCAATCTGTACTTTGCAAAGATTATCATATTATTATAAATAAATGAGGTTCATGACAGTAAAGAGATAATACTGGAAAATTACACTCTTCTGAATATGTCAACAGTACAGAAAGCTTGCCTGGGTCACTGGACCACCAAGCATGGAGTTAGCCTCAGCATGGATGAAGGCTCATAATCTAAAATAACATCATAAAAATTAATATGTAGTTGATTCTTTTACATCTTCTAATTTTTATTAACTCATTCTCTATTTACTTACTTACTGTCACTTTTCACTGTATATTTAAGGTCCTAACCTGGTATCAGGAAGCAATATCAAATAGGTGTAATGGTTACCTGGTGGACTTACTGTAGCAATTCCCAAGTATTCCATATAAATTTCTTTAATGATTGTATCCTTCCCTCTCCCCAAACGGCCAGGCTCTAATTGCTTGTTCGTACTATATATCCATGGCCAGGTAGAGAACTGCCACCTACAGTCTTCCACTCAACACTTCATTCATGAATTACCTTGTCTCTCAAGAAATAAAGAAGTGACTCTAGAACAGCATTTGAATTTGGCCTTGAAGGATCAGAACTACAAAAGCAGTGCTGAGGAAGGGCATGTCTGAAGGAGTCAGAGTCATGGGCAACTTCCTGGCAGGAGTGGATTGCAGGCAATGTTTGCAAAGGCAAACTCCAGTTGGGTTTGTCAGCTGTGATCAGATCAAAAGGACAAATGAAGAGCAGGCTAAGAATTTGGATCTTCTCTCTGGAGGCCATGAAAAAAAAAACCTGACATTTTTAGGGAGGGAGTGAAATGAACATAAAGCCATGTGGACAGTCTGATGGCTAAGTGTGTGTGACCTCATGCTGTCATTATTGGCGGTTCTTTCCTAACTCTAATGACATGCCACTGTTAGCTCACTGGTTGTTTCTCATGCTGGCCAGATATTTGAAACCATTCTGGTGGGATATAAAATCCACCCAATAATTTGGTATGTTCCATTCATGGAGCCTTTTTCTCCAACTCTCCTCAGATGACTCGGGCCCTTTTTACTTCTGCCTTGCTATGTAACTGGGTGTTCTCCTCACAGAAACTGCTCTTTAGAAATTGGTGGTTTATGATTTGAACGGAAGTGCATTTTTTCCTTTTATGAGGTTCAGTGATCAGCCTTTCAACACGACCATACCTAGTTCATGGTCTTTGTTCCTATCTCTACCCATTAATGCATCATTCTGCACCCAGAAGCATGCAGAGAATGACAAATGCAAGATGGTGCAGAAGCCATGACTATGCCTCCTGGTGGATGCATTACTCTTGTTCCCTGGAATGAATTCACCTGCTTGAGCCCTGGTTCCATAAGCTCTGCTTGACTTTTCCTTCTTTTAATGTTGTTGTTTGTTTGTTTTGCCTTTTAAACATGCAGATTGTACATCAGGCATGTACTCCATGCTATTGACATATTACGTACTCTTTTCTTCTAATCACTGTTAAATCATGGTCTAATCATAATTTTACATGGTGATTATTGCTGGAGGCAGAGGGAAATTGCTCCATTGAGTTTTGAAAAGGCTGACTAAAATGTTATTGGTTGTGCTCATTCATGATATTATCCTGCTAATAACTTTTCCCATGTGTTCTCTTAATATAGGTATTAGAATGCAAGCCCAATTCCCATTGGATAAAGCAGTGCCTGGTGTTTGGAAATATGAAAAACATAGATTAGCTGCAGTAGGGAGGACTTACATATTTTAAAAGGCAAACAACAAAGGAAGTTTTGTTTGGACTCTTTCACAACAAATACCATAACTGGATTTTGAATGTTTAAATCAGCATTATTTGGGAAATTTTAAATACTTATTCATGCTATATTGTGAATTAATGGTGTCTTAAGTTTGTAGGTACCTACTTGGCTCTTTCAAAGAACCCCAAATTTCTTGTCTTCTTTTGAAGTTATAGAGCAAAAAGAAAAATGGTATTTTAATGAATGAGCCCTAATTTGAACTGATTGTTTTCTAAAATGCAGAAACCAGTAAAACAGCAATGATGGGTTTATATCTGCCTCAATATAGATTGATTTAAAATAATATTCCTACTGTGTAAACAGGAGTGGATACATTTGGTGCTGGGGAAGGGTCAAATACATAACTATTGTTGTCACGAAATATTACTCTATAGCAGAGAGATGGCAATATATGTATTCAGATAGTTACGTCCCTATATAAAATTATGTTTACATTTTTAAATTACTAGATAATTTTCTTTCTGTTAAGTGCTTAATTTCACTCTGATTCAAGTCAACTTCTGTTTTGGAATGAATTGGATAATTCTAAGTTCCTGGCTGACACTTGCTGATATCCCCTCTCCACTTAATTTTTCTGTTGACAGATATGTCTAATGTGGCGATCTTCACATTACCATTGTGGGGATTAACAGCATAGGGAAACCATTTTGATGACATGTGTGATCAATGAAGAGCTGCTATGCCCTGCAGCATACTTTACTGTTAGCCAAAATTAAGTCACTGCTGACATAGAGATTACACGATGAATCTCTAACACTACAACCATCTTTAAAATACTGTAAAAAAAGAATACTGGAAAACCTTCTGTGGATTTTTTTCAACTCTACTACACTTCTAAAATGTCTAACTATTAAGGGGAATGCTAAAAAAAAAAATGAAATCATCCATAATAGATAACCTACTGTGTGCAACACAGGACCATCATCCTAGATTCTTCAGGAATTGGCTGTACATGTTTTTGTGTATTTACAAAAGACAGTTCCAAATTAGCAAAGCACATAGCATTGAATACTTGAGAGGTTGGAGAAAAAGAGGGAAGCAGGTGCTTTCTGCAAAGAAAACCAAGGACTGCACACCACAACGAGACCGCTGTGACCTTACTTCAAACTGTGAAACTGTGCAGCAGTAGGGTTTGGAAACTCTTAAATTCAGAAGGTGCAGAAAGAAATCAAGTTAGACTTTTAAGTTCCTGGTGCTTAAGTTTTCCTTCATTCACCAGCATTAAAATCTCAAGTAAGGTACCTCCTGTGCCAGAACGTATCAGGTAGACCTTTCTCAGCAAGCTGGAAGCATGCCTTACGTGTCACAGAGTTGTAAGGATAACAGTCACTAACCATCCTCTTGTACTCACTGCTGCAGGAGCAGGTGAGAGGCGCCAGAGATAGGCAGTTGCTAGGGGTGGATAGCGCGGTACACATGATTCTTATCCGCCTGAGCACACATTTACCCATAAGCACATAAAGACATAACTCGGATTGAGCTGGTATCTGATCCATGGGATTGCTTCTTTGATGGACCTCCTTGCCTTAGAATGCTTTTCAGTTTTAAGACCGTAGAATGATCCTTTCAAATTATAATCATTCTGATAGAGTTATTTTAATATACGTGCTTTTAAAAACAAAACAAAAACTACTGTCAGTATTAGTACTGAACCAGACTGGCATGCATAGATTTAACATCTTGTCTTATTAAGATTCTTAACTCTATAAAAGAAAGTAGGCTAATTATACGATGTTTAGATATTTAGGATAATAATTTCAATGAGACCTTTATCTCCTTAGTCATTGTTATGTGAGGTAAGCTAAGCACTTACCTAATAGACATTGGAAAACAAAGACTATCCCTTACCTTGCTAGGTATGAAAATTAGGCTCACCTTATTTCATTTTTTAACTGTTAAAAATATGTCTATAGAATTTAAAATTTAAACAATGCTACTTGTCATGGCCATACTTTATTTTTCAAAACATAAGTTAAAAGTTATTAATTATCTACATGTATGTATTTCTAATAATTAAAATATGTTTCAAAACCATAAAATGTCTGCCTTTTAAAAGTAATTTGGGCTTTTTGGTTGATTGTTTTTTCAATTAAAAATCTGTTTATTCTTAAACATTTCTTTCCTTTCCACAATTTTAAAACACTTCAAAATGATTTGTAAGTAGTGACTCAAGACTTCATATATTTAACCTTTGGGCATCTGTTCTCCAAAGGACCATCAAGATCATTGATAATTATTTGGTTTAGACTAAGGATAAAAACCACAAGTTAGTATACTAAACTCTAGATTTTTTAAAATAAGAAGTGAGAATGGCAGAAAGAATACCAAAGACTGAAAAGGAACTTGTTTTTACACTAATAAAGGCTGTGAAAAAATAGAAAACAACACAGTTTTGTCTACCCTTTGCCAGCTAAGTAGTATCATGATATTGAGACTGCAGATTCCATCTCCAGGGGGACCATGGCATATCCTGCCTAGTTGCAGAAAACCTTCACATTTTATATAAGAACTGAATTTACAATTTCCACTTAGTTGTTCCCTGGGCATTCTGTATAACAGTTGTGTGCTGCTCTTTAAAGTTATGTTAGGCACATGTGTACATCATTCTTTATGCTCAGAATTTAGAGGAAATGGAGTTCACTAAAAGTTTTCCCCTACTGACCATTAATCTTCAGTAGATTGTATGAAAATACTAAATTCTTAGGAAATATTTTAGAAATCATTTTACTCATAGTATATTAAGTAACCAAACTATTCCCTTTGCATATGCTTCATATTTGAGTTCACATACATAACATAAGAAAAATCAACCATTTAAATTTCATTCCCAGAGTCCCAAAGTTCTAGGCATTTTGAATACTGGTTTTGGTTAGCGCTCAAGCTGAAATGGTGCTGAGTTATCTGAACTTGAATGTAAACTGCATTAAGTCTTAGCTCACGGGATACAGACATTTAATGTGTATGCTTGCTGCATACTCGGTTACATGTCATTTGGTATTAGAATGCCTGTAATGAAGTTTTAGTTTCTCCCATTTTTTTTCTGGAATTTTTATTTGTCAAAACATTTGTAACTTGTTTGAGAACCTTTTATTTCAAATGCCAAGACACAGGCTTTATATTGAATTCTCACACCCTTTTTTATTATGTGCTGTAACTGCATGATTACATATAAAAATGCCTTGAGTAAATGATTTCAAGTGTCTAAAGTGGTCATTTTGTTACCTAGAAATAAATGATCTGAATTTCATTTTTGGTTAAAACATTAAAGCCATATGTATGGTTGATATTCTTGTCTAAGTGCCTTTTCTATTTTTGAAATTATAATATCAGTACATCATTTCCCCCTTTCCACCGTCAAACCCCTTACCTTGCCCTCTCTCAAATTCATGGCCTCTTTTTCTTTAATTTCTTTAAATTGTTAGTGTTACACAGACACACAGACACACACACACACACACACACACACACACACACACACACACACACACACACATTCCTAAATACATAAATACAACTCTCTCCCTCCATATAATGTTACCTGTATGTACATAGAGCTGACCACCTGGCATTGGATAACCAGTTGGGTGGCTTTTCCCAGTGGAAGATGATTTCTCCAACTCTCAGCAGTCCCCAGCAGTGCATAGTTCTTTCTCTAGGATTTAGACCCCACATGCTTTCACCTTTCCATGTTAGCATGTCCATTGGCATCATTATTTTCAGGTCTCGTTTAGATAGCCATATTGATGAAACTTCATGGGTGTAGCATCTCTGACGTTTCTAGGAAACACAATCTCACAGAAAACTCCCTGATCCTCTGGCTCTTACAACCTTCTCTCTTCCACGATGACCCCTGAGACTTAGATACAGGAGTTGTGTTGTATCAATTGTGACTGAACACCACAAGATCTCTTGTTCTCCACATTTTGGTCAGTTGTGGTTTTTGGTAATCGTCTTTATTGAATGCAAAGAGAAGTTTCTTTGGCGAGGGATATGAACTACACATAGCTGTAGGTGTAAGGATAAACATTCAGAATGTAGTTAAGAACTGTGATGGTTTGGTAAAATGATAGTTGTTGTTCTCTAACATCCATGACTTTTTTAGCTGGGTCCAATGTCAGGAATGGTCTCCTTCTTGTTGAGTGGGACTTACATTCAGTTAGGGAGCTGATGGCCACTGCCAAGACATGCATGGCACTGTTGCACCCTAGGGTTACTGTGTCACGCTGGTTCTTGAGGTTTATAGTCATCATAGCTGGGTAGCACTTCTCTTCCTCGGAAGCTTGCATGGTGCCTTCTGGTTCCATAAAAGCTAGTTCCCAGACAGGGAACTTCAGGCCATTTCCAAGTCTCCAGAGAGTTGAAAAAACCACAGAAGGAAAGTTTGTAGCTACTAAAGGTTAGCTTATGAGGTTTAAGAGTAGACAATGTCTCTAATCACTAAGCACAAGATGGAGCAGAACATAATCATCTATAAGCTGCAATAACTTGAGTAGACCACACAAGCTAACTGATGGAAGTGGCTAGAATAGCAACAGATTTTACACACACACACACACACACACACACACACACACACACACACACACACACACACACACGCCATCTAGGACTTTAAGAGGCGGGGGTGGGGGTGGGGAACTAAATTCTTGGCTTAGAAACTTCAAAGAACAGATGATACTCTTGTTACGGTTGTAATGCAGCTGCTGACTTGTGATTGCAACATTTATCTGTGTGCATTGACCATTCTGAAAATCCTACTAGGTGACAGCACATATGTTTGAAATATGACTTACTGAATACCTTAAATACCTTGTAGAGCTAATCCTGGGAAATTAAAATTCAAACAAAAATGTCACTCCCCACTGGCAACACACCTGGTCCCTCACGAGCTGTGATAATAATAATCAGTGAGGTATATTGAGATTTTTGTGCCTGTGAGCACATCACCCATTCTGCAGTTCACAGATCAAGGAGGAATTTTAACTTTTAAGTCTCATTATTTAAGCAACATTTCTAAAGCTGTCACTGCTATAGACATGGAGTCATCCGATGGCCCTGTACAAAATAAAGATCTTCTGAAAGTTTCACTATCCTGGATACCATTAAGGACATTTGTGAGGAGGATGTCAAAGTAACCCTAACCTAAGGATATGGGAGGTCAAAATAACCTCAGCAGGGTTTTGGAAGAAGTTTATTGCAATCTTCATGGGTGATTCCCAGGAGCTCCAGGCTTCCGTGAAAGAACAATTGCAGATGTAGAAACAGCGAGAACCAGAATCAGAAGAGGAGCCTGTAGATGTGAATACATTGCAGTAATTCGATTATGAGACAATAACAGATGAGGAGGATGGATGATCAAGGATGGT